GGGGTATTTTGTCTAAGACTACGTGTTTTGTAACAAACAACTTGTAACATGACTGATTGACTGACTTATTGCAGACCCCAGGCCACTACTGGCACTACAAACACATACAAATACATACAACCACACACAAACATACTGTATACAACACAATGCTGCCTTGGATTGTGAACATACACATTCCACTAATTTAAAGAAAAACGTCACACATCCTCTTAAAGCCTACCCTATGGTAGGTCATATGTTCTGTACTCGTGATAAATGGTCTACACTGTATCACGTCAGCATGACAGATCAGTAGGTAGCCTAATGTTTTTTTACATGTTAATTGTGCGCTTTTGAAGTTTGATATGTCCCCTCTCTGTGACAGTCTGGAACACAGGAAACCAAACTCAGAAGCCATTCCAATTCAAACATTTATCTGAGGCAACAGTCACTTACCAAAACTAAAGCAAATCTCTCCTCCAACTCCGACTGGTCAGGCATTGGCACTTTCAACGGCATTGCATGATGCTTCATATTGTCCGACTGTCCATCCACACTCTCAATATTCCCCATGGTTGAAATAAGTACTGTATCCTTTAAGTAGAATAGATAAAGTTCCCTCTTTCGACGTTCTTCCAGAGTTTTTCCAAAAGTGGGAAAATGTTCTCTGTTCCTTCAAAATGCACCAGTGCGTTATTCCAAATCACAGCACTTCTGTTCCAAAAGTTTCCGTTTAAATCAAAAGTTTACACCACACCAGTTTCATTCTGTCTCAATAAAAAAAAACTGCTACTTTTGCATTTGTAAAGAACACTAAACTGTAACTTACTCTAAACGGAACCTCATCTCTCAACAGTAACAATGAGGATACAATTGTTTTCTGTTCCAAAGAATGGTCTCCAATTTACCCGGCCAATCCATCTCCATTTCTTTCTGTGAATTCTTCTTTCAATAATAATCCACCCAAATAGCTAGGCTACTTAGTTGCTGAGCTGAATTTTCTTGGCTACGATGCCTTTCCATTCATTATTGTTGTGTGATCCAAATTAGAAGACTCTTCGATGTGCTTGCTTCCACTCAGAAGGCAGAGTTTCTGCTATTGCCCCGCCCCTTTTCGCAAAGGAACGCCCTCTCTATTGAGGCGTTGGCTTGTCAATCACATTGCCTATCTCTCTACTACTCACTCACATCTGTTATAGTTGACATAGACCCTGCTACATCTGGGTAAATTTGGTAAATTTGATATCAGCACTTTATCGCCACCATCATGACTACAGCACTAACAATGTGCATACTTTTTTTTTTCTTCATACATCACATACTAAATGTATTTATCCCTTGACATTAAAGCCAATAAGCCAGTAAGTCTTCAGTGTAGTCTACAAGTGGTATACAGGATTTCTGCTGATCTTATAATAAAATATTGTGCGTCACAAATGGCAGGTAGTTTAGTGGTTAAGAGCGTTGTGCCAGTAACCGAAAGGTCGCTGGTTCTAATCCCCGAGCCGACTAGGTGAAACATCTGTAGATGTGCCCTTGAGCAAGGCACTTAACCCTAATTGCTCCTGTAAGTCACTCTGGATAAGAGCGTCTGCTAAATGACTAAAATGTAAATGTATTCCCATAGGGCTCTGGTCATAAGTAGTGTACTATCTAGGGAATAGGGTGTCATTTTGGTAGGAAGACATTGTCTTACAGAAGAGGTGAGTAACAGGAGGAGGGAAGATTGGGATCATCTTGATTTATCGGAAGAAGTTGACATTTGTTTTGTTTCTAAATCAGCGATCATCTCTTACATCAATCTCCCAGCATAAAGATGAGTGGGATTTTGAAAGTGCAAACGTTTAATGAAAGTGCGCCGACAGAGACGTGGTGATTGTTATGCATGTGTGAAAGCGCAGGAGCTGTTCTCTCTATACGTCTCTCTCTACTCTTGCTCTTTCTCTCTCTCATACAACATATTTTCTACTTATTTAATTTCCCAACAACATTTTCAAGCATTTTAATAAATGTTTCAAGCCTTGGAAGTGAGTGACAGTGGGGGGAAGATAATTTCCTTGCCACAAATTTAGCTGGCTTCTTTCAGAGCTGGTGTCCTGGACACAAATGAAACCTAGTCCTGGACTAAACAGCACTCTCCATTGAATCTCCATTCAACATGCTTCTTAGTCCAGGACTAGGCTTAAGCTGTGTCTAGGAAACCGGCCCTTTGGGTTCTTTTTTTTTTTGGGGGGGGGGGGGGGGGGGGGTATTTTGTCTAAGACTACGTGTTTTGTAACACACAACTTGTAACATGACTGATTGGCTGACTTATTGCAGACCCCAGGCCACTACTGGCACTACAAACACATACAAATACATACAACCACACACAAACATACTGTACACAACACAATGCTGCTTTGGATTGTGAACATACACATTCATGATAAGGCTACATATTTAGCTTCTACACATACAGTGGGGAGAACAAGTATTTCATACACTGCCGATTTTACAGGTTTTCCTACTTACAAAGCATGTAGAGGTCTGTCAAATCCAGAAAATCACATTGTATGATTTTTAAGTAATTAATTTGCATTTTATTGCATGACATAAGTATTTGATCACCTACCAACCAGTAAGAATTCCGGCTCTCACAGACCTGTTCGTTTTTCTTTAAGAAGCCCTCCTGTTCTTCACTCATTACCTGTATTAACTGCACCTGTTTGAACTCGTTACCTGTATAAAAGATACCTGTCCACACACTCAATCAAACAGACTCCAACCTCTCCACAATGGCCAAGACCAGAGAGCTGTGTAAGGACATCAGGGATAAAATTGTAGACCTGCACAAGGTTGGGATGGGCTACAGGACAATAGGCAAGCAGCTTGGTGAGAAGGCAACAACTGTTGGTGCAATTATTAGAAAATGGAAGAAGTTCAAGATGACAGTCAATCACCCTCGGTCTGGGGCTCCATGCAAGATCTCACCTCGTGGGGCATCAATGATCATGAGGAAGGTGAGGGATCAGCCCAGAACTACACGGCAGGACCTGGTCAATGACCTGAAGAGAGCTGGGACCACAGTCTCAAAGAAAACCATTAGTAACACACTACGCCGTCATGGATTAAAATCCTGCAGCGCACGCAAGGTCCCCCTGCTCAAGCCAGCGCATGTCCAGGCCCGTCTGAAGTTTGCCAATGACCATCTGGATGATCCAGAGGAGGAATGGGAGAAGGTCTTGTGGTCTGATGATAATTTTTTTTAGCTTTTTGGTCTACTCCACTCGCCGTGTTTGGAGGAAGAAGAAGGATGAGTACAACCCCAAGAACACCATCCCAACCGTGAAGCATGGAGGTGGAAACATCATTCTTTGGGGATGCTTTTCTGCAAAGGGGACAGGACAACGGCACCGTATTGAGGGGAGGATGGATGGGGCCATGTATTGCGAGATCTTGGCCAACAACCTTCCCTCAGTAAGAGCATTGAAGATGGGTCGTGGCTGGGTCTTCCAGCATGACAACGACCCGAAACACACAGCCAGGGAAACTAAGGAGTGGCTCCGTAAGAAGCACCTCAAGGTCCTGGAGTGGCCTAGCCAGTCTCCAGACCTGAACCCAATAGAAAATCTTTGGAGGGAGCTGAAAGTCCGTATTGCCCAGCGACAGCCCCGACACCTGAAGGATCTGGAGAAGGTCTGTATGGAGGAGTGGGCCAAAATCCCTGCTGCAGTGTGTGCAAACCTGGTCAAGACCTACAGGAAACGTATGATCTCTGTAATTGCAAACAAAGGTTTCTGTACCAAATATTAAGTTCTGCTTTTCTGATGTATCAAATACTTATGTCATGCAATAAAATGCAAATGAATTACTTAAAAATCATACAATGTTTTAGATTCCGTCTCTCACAATTGAAGTGTACTATGATAGAAATTACAGACCTCTACATGCTTTGTAAGTAGGAAAACCTGCAAAATCGGCAGTGTATCAAATACTTGTTCTTCCCACTGTATAATGTTCTCTTTATCAAATAAAAGAACAGTGATTCAGACTTTGCATTACTGTAAAGCTAGAGTGTGTTTTCAGTGGCAAATGTGAGGGTCTGGGTCATTTCCTAACACTTTTCCTGAATTATAAAATCAACTTTTAAATACATCTGATTAAAACATACAAAACTTCTTCATTTGGAACAGAATGAACACAATCAGTAGATCATAAACATTATTCTCAATCTTCTCAAATTGTTCACAGTTTTGGAATATATAAGGCAAAAATACAAACATAAAAACAATGTAACAAAATGATTGATTCATAAAAAAAAAAAAAAGTTTTACAAATATAAAAGTAATAATTTCAGGATTGTAAAATCCATCCATGTTGGCACGTAAATGCTCTAAAACTACAGGGTAACATTTCAGCACCCTCATCATCATATCTGCCAGTACCCGTAACTCAGTATGTTGGGCCTTGGTCGCTATTAACTCTAAAACACTTATCTCAAGATGGTTGATATAGCTTTGTAATAAAACAAATGAAACAATGCAACAAAGTAAGAAAGTACCCTCCGAGAACAATTACTTTTGTAGTAAATAAGAACTGAAGTGATGAGAACAACTCAAAATACCTGAAGGTTTAAACTGTTCAGGATTTTTGCTGCATTTTCTGAACTATGGGGTTATAAAATACTTTATGCTTTTCAAGATAGATTCCTTTAGGAGCAACATATTTGCCTTCATATCAAATATCTACTCAGCCAAAAGATTCTAAAGAACACTTTCTCAGACTTGAATTAGGAATATAGGAATTCTTTCTTCCAGAGCCTTCGTAAGACTGTAATAAGACTGACCAAATCTATCATTTGTAATTATTCTTTTTACAGATAAATTGTGATATTGTTGGGATGATATGTAATGTAAGTGATTCTTCAGTGGTGGTCCCATTGTGCATTGGCTGAATAAAAATATAAAATAAACCATACAGAACAAGCAGTAGTCAAAGTAACATTGCACTGCAGGGATGTGAGGCCATCATCTCATCTAATTGGTCTCCTCTACTAAATCGTACCTGAGAAAGTAAGAGATCTTATCAATCAAAGTAATGTGGAATGCATATGAACAAATGTAGAAGAGGTAGCACATGGGATGGCACTTACCATTGTGTGTCGCCATTCTCCAGGTCTATCTGGTCAAGATCTAGCTGTAACTAAACACAACAACAAAAACACAGTTCACCTCACTTGGAGAAGTACATATTACATTAGAACGACTAAATGGGCTAAATAATTAGAGAAAATATATTTAAGGATTTTACACAAATAATACCTTTCCAATGAGCTCTCTCTCCCTGCTCATGAAGGAGACGTTGTTTTTGACAGTCAGGTCAAGTCTTCTCTGCATGCACTCCTCCAGAGTGAAGTCAAAGTCAAACCTGCACAAAATGATAAGACATACAATGCCAGATATTAGTATATGTAATAACACATAGTATTATTACACATCACTATTACACATAGTATTATTACACATAACTATTACATTTAGTATTATTACACATAACTATTACACATAGTATTATTACACATAACTATTACATATAGTATTATTACATATAACTATTACACATAGTATTATTACACATAACTATTACATTTAGTATTATTACACATAACTATTACACATAACTATTACATTTAGTATTATTACACATAACTATTACACATAGTATTATTACACATAACTATTACATATAGTATTATTACACATAACTATTACACATAGCTATTACACATAGTATTATTACACATAACTATTACACATCACTATTACACATCACTATTACACATAGCTATTACACATAGTATTATTACACATAACTATTCCACATAGTATTATTATACATAACTATTCCACATAATATTATCACATTTAATTTTTTGTCATTTAGCAGACGTTCTTATCCAGAGTGACTTAAAGTTAGTGCATTCATCTTAAGATAGCTAGGTGGGACAACCACATATCACAGGCATAGTAAGTACACTTTTCCTCGATAAGTAGCTATCAGCAAAGTCAGTGCTAGTAATAACACATAACTAACTACTGTATAGCTGATTGTTTCATACATAGTGCTAGGACTTTAGACATACCAAAAGCTAGAGAACAGTACCGAACAAACTATTATATAACTAGGGCCCAGAGTTACATGGTCTGGAAAACCTCCTGTCCCTACACATTCCCTCTCTCCAGTCTCCTGGTGTCCCCTCCTGTCTCTAACCTCCTGTCCCTACACATTCCCTCTCTCTAGTCTCACCTCCCATCTCACCTCTCGTTAAATTCAGGGTTGAGGTCTCTCTTCTTGGTGATGGTATTTCTCTTGGTGGTCCTGTTCTTGTCCGGCAGAAGGATTAAGGAGACATAGGGGTTGGAGCCATCCTTAGCAGACCCACAAGCTGGCAGGCCCCTAAAGGCAAACAGAGAACTGGGTGACAAACTGTGTCAGACACTGGGTACAGGAAGCACAATGTTCACATACTGGAAGTAGACAAACAATAGCCCATTGAAACAGTCTTATGGGGCTAACTTTTTTCTCTCTTTATTTTTTAAGAATATTTATGTATTAATTCAAATACAATATAACAATGGCTTCACATTCACAAATATTCTGAATGCATTTACATTACATTAAAAAACAATAGAACATGAAGGCTATAGCACTATACGGCAAGTTACTGTAAACCACCAGCAAATCCAGTGCATTGTTTGTGGGTAATTTTGTTCAGGACAGACCTGCAGGAGAGGACGATGATGTACAGCCTGTTCTCCTCTATTGAGTAGCCAATTTGTAGCTTCACCTGGCCAGGGCTCTGATCACCTCTGAGAGAAGAGAAAAAGGTAGACGGGGAGAATCTCAATTGGTTTTACTCGACTCCTCACGTCTTCTCCCCCGTCCTCTCCTCGCCTCCTTTTGAAAAAGGTCAGAGGTAATCAAGGGGAGGGGGTGAGGAGAGGAAATGTGGAAACAAATGTGCTTGTATGAAATGAGACTATCCTTCTCCACTAGCATGTCATCAGGCAAATTACGTTTACAGAGGAGGAATCCCAAAATACATATGAAAAGTGATCAAAAGAAATGTAGCTAGTTGTGCTAGACATTTTATAGATAAAAGGATAAGTAGCATATTTCAAAAAAATGTGTGCATGCTTTTCTACTCTGATAAAACAACAACTGATTCGAAGGGGGTGTGGCACATTTCAAAACTCTTACAGCAGGACTCCGGTAGGATACACCTCATTACTCAACACTCTTAGAAAAAAGCGTTCCAAAAGGGTTCTTCGGCTGTCCCCATAGGAGAACCCTTTTTTGTTCCAGGTAGAACTATTTTGGTTTCCATGAAAGAGTTCTACCTAGAACCAAAACGGGTTCTTCAAAGGGTTATTCTATGGGGACAGCCGAAGAACCCTTTTAGGTTCTAGATAGCACCATTTTTTAAAAGAGTGTACTCCTCCGTTCGCCTATTACAGTTTCTCAATCCTGTACAAACAATTTTTGATTTGTGTTGAAACGTATCTATAGCAGAACAGCAATGAATAAATGCTCAAATATATTTACAGAGCTTCTGATCATTTTCTTGCCTTAGTACATGACTTGCATATCTTAGACCACCTTTTGCAAAACATTAAATACAAATGTCATCAGTGAATACAAAATGAGGTCTTAAGTGTTTTGTTGACAGAATATGAAAACATTGTTTTGATCAGAACAGAAATGTGTGCAATTGTGTTCACTGTTTTCCGGCATTCAGTAAATACTACTGCATGAAATTCTAAATCACCCCATCAGTGCCATACCATGTACAATATATGGAAAGACGTGGTCAGTGGGGACTGTCTAATTGTTATGATTTTTTACAATATTGCGAACATGCAGAGAAATCAGTTGTGTTACTTATACATAACTTTGGGTTACTCCTAAGTCATCATCTCCAACATTGTGATCGTCCATTATAGAGCTTTACTTTGGTGTGGATTTAGGCCTATACATTCATATCAGTTGTGTTCCTCTATTGTATTCACCCTTCCTTATTTCTATTGTGGATTGTGTTTCTGGGCGCAAATGGAAAGTCAACAAAACTATGAGCAAACCAACCTTTGTTTTGAATACATGGAATTGGATTGTGATGATACCGATGAATGAATCCTGCCCACAATGTGCTTATTTTGTATTAGATTTACTATCATAAATAATTTTTGATTTGATGTGTATGAAATTGTTTGGTGAAATGCATAAACGGAGGACAAACAACGAGGACGAACTTTTGCCCAATTGAGAATTCCCATGGTGACAGTTTACATGGATTATACATGTATTAATTCATTGCAGGTTAGCATTTTTCGTAATTAATTTTGTTCTGGAAGCAGCTCTAGTGGTGACTAGCTGGCACAGTCACAAAGTCATAAAATATTATTTTAAACCGGACAGTAACCTTAACCACACTGCTAACCCTAATGCCGAACCCTAACCTTAACCACGATGCTAACCCTAATGCCTAACCCTAACCTTAACCACACTGCTAAACCTAATGCCTAACCATAACCTTAACCACACTGCTAACCCTAATGCCGAACCTTAACCACACTGCTAACACTAATGCCTAACCATAAACTTAACCACACTGCTAACCCTAATGCTGAACCCTAACCTTAACCACACTGCTAACCATAATGGCTAACCCTAACCTTAACCACACTGCTAACACTAATGCCTAACCATAAACTTAACCACACTGCTAACCCTAATGCTGAACCCTAACCTTAACCACACTGCTAACCATAATGGCTAACCCTAACCTTAACCACACCGCTAACCCTAATGCTGAACCCTAACCTTAACCACACCACTAACCCTAATGCCGAACCATAAACTTAACCACACCACTAACCCTAATGCCGAACCTTAACCACACCGCTAACCCTAATGCAGAACCCTAACCTTAACCACACTGCTAACCCTAATGCCTAACCCTAACATTAACCACACTGCTAACCATAATGACGAATCTTAAAAACTTAACCACACTGCTAACCCTAATGCCTAACCCTAACCTTAACCACATTACTAACCCTAATGCATAACCCTAACCTTAACCACACTGCTAACCCTAATGCCTAACCCTAACCTTAACCACACTGCTAACCCTAATGCATAACCCTAACCTTAACCACACTGCTAACCCTAATGCCGAACCCTAACCTTAACCACACTGCTAACCCTAATGCCTAACCCTTAAATTAAGACCAAAAACCTGCTTTTTGTTTTAATGTTTTTTTTTTTAAATAGCCAATGTTGACTTTGCAGCTGGCCCATCTTGCGGAAATCGCTTAGTTCTGCCTGCAGGACAAGATTCATCCCAATAAACGTCAACCTGCTCATTGATTATGACTAGGCCCAGAGTTCTTCCTGGTCAGGTCACGAGGTCAGGAAACACTCTGGGCCCTAGTTATGATCATTTTAAACCACAGAAATGTGTTATTTCTATGGTTAAGGACACATTACAGTACAGCACATTACAGTACAGTAAACTGCAGTGAGAAGAACAATGTGTGCCATGCAGGCCCATTGGACATCAGTTCTCAGTTCTCACTGTACTGTACTGTAATGTACTGTACTGTAATGTACTGTACTGTACTGTACTGTACTGTACTGTAATACTGTACTGTACTGTACTGTAATGTACTGTACTGTAATGTGACCGGTACACAATGAGGCGTTGATGCGAGTGTGAGCTTCAGAATGACTCACAATTGAGAGAACGGTGATCTGTGTCGTAGGTTTGGTTCAGTGTCCCGTCTGTGTATGACCTGGTCTCTTTCCTCACTGCCCTCCTCAGTAGAATCACTGGACACACCACTACGACACACTGCCAGCTGGGTGTTCAACATCTAAAGGAAAAAGGACATTTCATATTCCTCTCAAATTTCAAGCTTCAGTTTATTCCATTTTAAAGGTAATTTCACACACAGTCACGACACACTTTTGAAAAACAGATAAAATATAACATTTATGAGTAAGAGACGTGACAGTAAAATTGTTATCGGGATAGAAAGTATGAAGAGCTCACATGATGACATTAATGTAGAAAGAGGGTGTTCAGAGCAAATGGAATCATGTTGTTTTGGAGAAATAGTCATGGGACAGTGTTGAGTTTAGTACAGAGTATGAAAATCATATGACAGTATTGAGTTTGTTTGGTATATAGAGTGTGTGTGTATGGGTCAGACCTGGGTTCAAATCGTATTTGCTTTCTTTCAAATACTTTGAGCATTTGATTGAGCCTGCCTGAAATGCCAGATGGGCAGAGTTTACACTTTACTGTTCCCTTGTGCCAGACAAGCTCAATCTAGCACAGATACAGTATTTGGGAGAATACAAATATTATTTGAACCCAGGTCTGGACAGTGGTTTGTTACAGAGTGTGTGTGTGTCTGCATTATGAGTTAACCTTGAGTGTGGCCCTCAGTAGAATCTGGCTCTCTGGGAGGGCCCCGTCCAGACTGAGCCATCGGTCCAGTACCAGGCCCTGCTGTGACAGGACCTCTCTCAGGGGCAACACCACCATGCCCAGGGCCTGGCCCCAGCTGTGGGACAGCTACACACACACAGAGAAACAGGCACACACACACGCACACAGATGGGTGCACACGAAACATAGATGGGTGCACACAAAACATAGATGGGTGCACACGAAACATAGATGGTGCACACGAAACATAGATGGTGCACACGAAACAAAGATGGTGCACACGAAACATAGACAGACACGCATGCACTCACAATCGCACACACGCACACACATATAAACACATCAGAGAAAACGTAGGGCACCGTAATGTCATCATTCCAATCTCAACACATTGTCTCCCAGCTTTGAATGGCATATCAATAGGTGTAAGCGATCTATGAAAACGTGTTAACACTACTATCAGCAGCAAGAGAAAATCAATCTTAAGCCAAGACGTTCATACAGTAAAACACATGTTTACTTTTCAACCCTGGTGGACCCTTCACTCACCTTCACTATAAGGAGTTCCTCTTTAGGGTCACGAACCAGGAAGTGGAAAGCTTCATCCCACTGAGGAGATGTAGAGCGCTCACACACCTTTGAAAAATAGATTAATGGAGAAACCAAAGATAAAACAAAAATTGTCCATACTTCATTTTGTATTCTCTAGTAAGCATATTTGTAAATAGACGTGGAGTGAAGAGAACTATAGATGGGTTAGCTGACAACGTCACGAAAACTATGCATATGCTTCAACGTGGCAGAAGTCCATGAGTTGTTGTGATTCTGGATGGCCAGATAGCTAGCAACAATGACAAGAAGCTGCCATGTGGGGAATCGTAGGTGACTCGTTTCAGCTAGTTTCATCTTGTTCTTGATATCATGTCTTGTTTCAAGGTGTTTTGACGGATTTCATGTCAATGCTACTATGGCTAAAATTCACTAGCTAGCTAACCAACAACTGTAAAAATGTATTTGAGAGACAACAAGTGCTCATTGCGCAAATGTATTTATGTTTTCAATAAACATTGGAGACAAAACATATTTTACATGTTGTCAAAAGTCTAAGCCAACCCCGTCTGTTTTTCCCCAAAGTTCTGCACGCGTCGGTTTTGTTGCAAAACAACCAACCCTTCTATAAGACAATGTGCTACCTTGGTCTTGTATGACATGGCCTTCAGCAAAATCTCTGCCCCGACTTTTGGCTCCTTTCCATTCATCTTCAACTGTGAACATGGAAAAAACAAGTGTATAAAATAAATTAAAGAACCGCAATAGAATCAACATCGACAAATGTACATTAACAACAAATGTACAAACCAATACTGAAATGTCATTATTTAGTAATAAAACCAAAACCCATGTTGTATATAAACACTTAGGATGTATTGTGGGCTATACAGTATTTGATCACCAACAACAACAACAACAACAACAACAAGAACTGTATGTCAACACAGCAGGGCAGCAGGCCCCAGATCTCACCGGCAGGCTGTGGGCTCTCTCCAGGTACACAAACAACACAGCAGCCGATGGCACTGCCTTGTTCTGGTACTGCTGCTGGGCCTGGTACTGCAGGATCTGGAAGGTTCAGAATTATAATACACTGTTAGAACCAGATGCTGGTAGAGCAGAGAGAGGAATGTAGAGAGAGTACAGAGAGGGAGAGTGTGTGTGAGAGAGAGGGAGAGGGAGGGAGGGAGGGAAAGAGAGAGGGGGAGGGAGAGAGAAAAAGAGAGAGAGGGGGAGGGAGAAAGCGAGGAAGAGGGAGAGCAAGAGAACAGGGGAAGCTAACCTGATCTAGTCTGGCGGACTCTGAGACTGTGGGGAGCCACTCCATGACCAGATGAACCCGACCTGACTTCACATCATTCAGAGTGTACCACTGTGATGGAAACAGACACATCATTACCAGAGTACCATTATCAGATGATCAGAGTACCATTATCAGATTATCAGAGTACAATTATCAGATTATCAG